GAGATGCCTCGAATCTGAAGAAGTTGAAAACCACTGGTCCATAGCAACTACATAGTTGGTCCAATAAAAGATAAGACGTCCAAGAATTCTTACCTTTCACATGTCTCCTGGACTATCATGATGGCAGCAACATCACCTCAACACTACTAAAACTAGTACTGCAGATTCTCCTGTCACATGCAGGTTTTCAGCAGGAGTATAATGCTGCCCTCCCTTTTCTCATTCCTTTCCCACCCTAACAAGAAATAAAGGGCAAAAAACTTTTTAATGATTTTTTGTGTTATAAATACTCTTGTGCACAAGTTGTCTTTAGCTGCTGCATGACAACTTATATCTTTGATTTACTTTAAATACCTGCTTTATCTTTTTTGTTATCATTTTCTAATAACTGCATTTAAAAGCTCAGCGGGGGTTTTGCACAATTATATTCTCTTGATATAAGGTACTACTTATTATTTTAACAGTAAAAACTGTATTTTCTGTGCTTAATCAATGCTTGATTTGTAGACTGTATTTTGGAACCAGATATAAGGGACATTTCATCTAAAAAAAAAGATCATTCTAGAGAAGGGCATTTTTATTATTTTTGGGGGGGATTTTCAAACAGTGTTTTATTCATCTGCCTGTCTTATTGGTTAATATTTGGGAGAATGAGTTTGAAAACCAATCATTTATTAAATATTTATCTTTTCTCATCTGATTTCCAGCTAAACTTCAGCTGTGTCTGATTCACCTTTATTAATACAGCACACGTCAAATTGCTTAACAAGCATTGTTGATGAAATCATTGAAATGACAAAGCTTGTTTGTTCCGGTAACATCACTGAAGCATAACTCAGCTTCACATTTTTAGTGATTTTTTTTTTGTGGGATACAACATGTTACAGACCATACAGCTGTCAAGTCAGATAAAAATTCTTCAAACAAAAATACCCAAAAGGGGAAAAATAAAGGAGGATACATTTGCATAAATACTTGCTCACTCACTCATATGCACACATACACATGCAGTTCTTCAGACTTAAGTTTTAGAAAACAGTTACTGAAGAAGCTCTCTTCATTCGTTATATAGTGCAGTATTCTGTGGGCTCAGTGAGGCAACATACAGCTTTCAATAGGGCGACAAAAACTGAAATGTTAAAAATAGAACAAGCTTTAAGAATCCCAGATATTTTCAGATAACAAAGAGTGATTTATGTGGGCTCATTTTGCACTGTGACAAAACATAGAGGAGCTTTTGTGCTATGATTAGCAAGGGTGCTGATGTCAGTTCTCTTGTCTAGCTTCAAGCTTTATTCTGCTGTTAAATTGTGCTTTGTACTATACTCCAGAGAACCTTTGTATCTGCCTTATTAGTGTGTAGTTTATGGAATTGCTTTTGTTTTTGAGTTTAATCTGTGCCAATTTCAGTGAGAGTGACTCATTATATGCCTGAAATAAACATTCACATATTCACCATGCAAAAATTCTTTTAAAAATGCTAGCAGGTGCTGGTAGGATAAATGCAATGTTTTAAGTATTTAATAGTTGGTATTTTGCAGCGTGAAGGGCTGAAAGAAATTCTGTTTTGATGATGACTATATGAAATTGGACTAGGAGTCATATTTCACTCTTAAATATTGAATAGGATTTGTGTTAGCGCTGACACTATGAAGAACATTAACCCATCCATTAACATGAAATTAGAAATAAACCCCCAAGTTACTAGATTTCATGTGTACTGATCTTACTTGCGTTGCATGATTCCTGAGGCACATACATTTGGATGTTAGAGATTCTTTTTATTTTCACCCAAAGTTTGGGGGGGGAAATCTCATCTGAAGAAATGGAAGCTCAGGGGAAGAAAATTCCAGTTTCTGAAACAGCTAAAGTTTGCACTCTTGTGTTTCAGGACTAATTAATTATCAGTTAATTATCAACCCTGAGACATTCTGTGCAGAAAATATCTAAGGTTGATGTCATACTAGTATCTAAACTGTTTGTTTACGAGTGGTTGATACTTTGGTAGGAAGCAAAATAAAATTGGTTAGATTTTCTGAGTACTGCAATATTATAATTACTACTTTTAGTTTCTGCTAATTTATGTATTATTTATTTATTTATTTTTCTTCAGTGCTTCACTACATTTTGTGTTTAGGAGAGTGACTAACTTGTTAATTCAGTGAGAAAAAGTGACTTAAAACTGACTTGGATGGTACTTTCCTTGATTTAAGGGCAGATTAGATGGAATATATTAAAGGCACAATGCTTGCAATTACAAGTCATCTGTAAAGCTTTGATGTGCTTTAGTACTTGTTTGCTATTCATATCCACCACTCCTAGCTAGAATGTCTTACACTTTCCCTTTCTCTCATTTTTTAAATTATTTCATAGAATCATAGAATCGATGAGTGGGAAGGGACCTAGACAGATCATTGAGTCCGACCCCCTGCCACGGGCAGGAAAGAGGACTGGGGGTGGCAGAGGTCACAAGACCCCAGCCAGGTGCCTATCCAGTCTCCTCTTGAAGATTTCCAGGGAAGGTGAGAGCACCACCTCTCTGGGAAGCCTATTCCAGGCTCTGGCCACCCTTACAGTGAAGTAGTTCTTCCTAATATCTAACCTAAACCTATCCTCCCTCAGCTTGTGGCCATTGTTCCTGGTGACTCCAAGGGGGGCCCTGGTGAACTGACTTTCCCCGAGTCCCTGCTGCTGGCCCCGATAAGGTTGTAGGTAGCCACAAGATCCCCCCTCAGTCTCCTCTTGCGGAGACTGAAGAGATTCAGGTCTCTCAGCCTCTTCTCATAGGGCTCGCCACGGAGGCCCCCAACCGTACGAGTGGTTGGGGGCCTCAGATTTTTTCTGGTAGAATGTGGTTCTGCCTTTCTCGCTGTGTACCATGTACAAAACATGTCTGGATTTTTTGCTTCATCTTGGATTTACTCACATCCTTATTTTAAACAACATAAATGCACATTTCAGAAAATACATTGATAACAGATATTGTGTTTGACTCTTAAGGTTAGAATAGAGTCACTTTCCTTGCTTAAAAAGCAGGAAAAAGTTCAGGGGTAATTTCAGTGTGAGATCAGTTAATTTCCTCCTCCTTGCTGCTTTTTTGTGATTTAATCTTAAGGGTAAGATGGTGACGTATTACAAAAGGAGATCTATTAATATATTTTTAACGAACTTAAGCCCAGTGGAATACAATCACACTTAGGTGCTCAGGTCCACTTAGATTCATGATGGGGGAATAGACTCTGGCACAGTGCCTTTGAGCATGAATGACGCGTGCCCCCAGCAGCCAGGGGGGCACAGCTGTGCTGGCAGCGGCGGGAGCACGGCAGAGCTAAGCACAGAGCTCCCACAGATGCCGCCGGCACTGTCAGTAGTGGGGGGATGGGGTAGCGAGTGCCCCCGCAGGTGCCGCCGGGGGTGCTCCTTTTTCTAGGGGGTGCACCACCACACTCGGGGTGCCCCACCTATGCGTCACCCCTGCCTTTGAGCAAAAGTTCTAGGTTTGAAAGGAGTAAACTGTCTGTCTTGGGGTTTTGTTGTTTTTTTTTTTTAATGCCGTTTACATTACACTCAGTCTGGCCTTCAGATGCTGTCTCAATAATCTGAAGGAAGGATGGAAGGTCTGGGCATTTCCACTCCTCCATACTCGTGCCTAGGTGTACATGTTGAAGGACCTAGTGACCTCTCACACATACACTATGAACCAGAAGGCTCTGTGGTTGCCTGCTTCTATTGACTCGGGTATCTGAGCACAAGGGGTCTGGGACAGGCATTGCGTAAACTGGTCTGAGCCAAATCGGTTACATCTGATACTGCCTTCAGGTTTATCTCAAACCAGTTTCAACCATTTTCAAACTGGTTTATGTGCACTGAACATTTGTTCTGTTACAGGTTCAACCCAGTTTCTGATTGCTTAAACTGGTTTATGTGTAATGTCTGCTCCTAGCCTTTAAGTTCAGGTGGCAGAGTTGGAGCATGTTTGAGGATGCTGCTTCTCTTTAACGGAATAGCCCACATCTTTAGCTACAATTGAGGGGCTGAGAGTGGAGAAACAGGACTGCAAAGATAACCTTTGGCTCCTCACTCCTAAACCAGCCCGGTGCAAGGTTTGCTTCGTTGGCTTGAAATATGACAATCAGAGAGTGCTTTGATATGAATTATACTGAATAATAGTTGTCCCAGATTCAGAGACTGGTTATACAATATTTAGGCCAACCCCCTTCCCTAATCATATCGCCTGTATTGGCATCTATCGGGGTTGGTGTAAGATTTGGCTGAAATGCCTGGTGGAACATAAATAGATTTCTTTCAAGAATGTACCGTAAATGCACAAGGGTTTTTTCCTGTTTCTAAAGTAAAAAGAGGGAAATGCAGAAAACGCAGAGTGCTGTCCTATTGTTTTGTAACCGAGTGAAATGTATTTTTTCATGTTAACTTTTGCCAACTCATAATGTAGCTCTCTTTCTGTAAAAACAGCTCCTTAAAATACTACTAGGTCATGAACTTTTTATAGTCCTAAGATCCAGAGAAGTACACATGTATGAGCATTGTCTGTGCTATAAATGCAAGTGACTCCTGAAGCGTGTCAGTGCTCAGACTGAATAAACAACTTTGAAGTACTTATTATGTTGTGTTTTTTTGCTCCCTTGGCTGTAATAACGTCCACTAGCTTTATTTTCTTTCCCTACTGAATTCATTTTTTTCCATTTGGCAGATATATGCCTGATTTTGATTATGTGTTCTCTAGTCTTAAATATAGGAAAGAACTTCTTTTGAATTAAAAAAAAATTTCCAATACAGAAATCCATTTCTACCAGTTCGTAACTTCACCCTCTTAAGTTTGTATTTGTTATGCAGTCTTTTGAAAACAATTTGACATATGTATTGTATTCAACCTTTGTTATTACACAGTTTGAATTATGGAGGTCAGGTATTACTTTATTTCATTATACCTTCAATCACATGTTTAATTTTACTTTTTTTTTACTTTTCTGAATTTTTAGGCATGGAAGAGGAGATGGTTTGTGCTTCGTAGCGGCCGTCTAACAGGAGATCCAGATGTATTGGAATATTACAAAAATGACCATGCTAAAAAGCCTATCCGCATTATTGACTTAAACTTGTGTCAACAAGTAGATGCTGGATTGACATTTAACAAGAAAGAGTTTGAAAATAGCTATATTTTTGACATCAACACTATAGACAGAGTTTTCTACTTGGTTGCAGACAGCGAGGAGGAGATGAATAAGTGGGTTCGATGTATTTGTGATATCTGTGGGTTCAACCCTACAGATGAAGGTAAGTTTAACATTTTTCCTGTTTCTAAGAACTGCTTTGTCCTTACACATGGGAATGTTTAAAGAGCTGTCAGTAGCATTCACTACAAAACTTGTGTACAGCTATATAGGCTTTTTGCTGTACATGCATGCAAACATGCAAATAGAATAGCAAATGATATCTTTGGAGTTGAATTTTTATGACCTGTGGCAAATACGGAAATTAGTAATATGCTGAAATGATTTTGGTCTAATGGTTTAGCTTAATGATTTTTTTTTAGAACTTCAGACCTAGTCTGTTTTATCATTCTTATATATGAAAATAAACTCTTATGTTCATGACTGAAATATTTTCCTATCTGAGAAGCTTTGTACAGTTCGTAAAATCCATGTTTGCACAAGCAGTGGAAATGGGACTACTATTGTGAAATGCAAGAACTTTAACTCCATCTTTCCTTTACTTCTGCTCTGCACCTCAAACCCAAATTCTGCCAGTGGACCTTCTCACAGAGCAGCTTGGATAGTAATGGAGTCACTGGGGCACTGGGGAAAATTCAAGTAAAGACTTTTGGGTGCATCCAGGTGAGCTGTTTGAGGCACTGCAAACTGCACACATGCACCCATTCGCTGCACTGCTAATTTGCACCGCAGTGCCAGAATTTGACACGGGGTCAAAAGAAAATCACCACTAAAAAAAAGTGGTGTGGTGCATGCAGCAGCAGCATGCACTGACAGAAACGGAGCTTGGCTGTGCAGGGCCATACTCTGGCTGCCAGCCAGGATCTGTGCAGCTGGATCTGTGCCTCTGCTGTCCCAGGAGGCCCCTAGAACCCCAGGTAAGGGTGCTGAGGCTAGCATAGGTGCTGGCCTCAGTCTCCTGTACCCACCCAGGTCAATATGGGCCACTACTAATTTGTGCCCTGCACATTTTACTCATCTGAACACACCCCTTTTGAATAATTTTTCCTTATCCTGAATCTCATAACCCAGAATCCTGTTGGGTCTGTGTAGGCAGCAGTATTTACTACAGCCCTTTTTATAGCCCTAAGAGAAAATTAAATCATACATGTCTGATAAAGTATGTCTGATTAGTGGGCTATTGAGAGCCAAACTTCTGTGTGTTTTATTGGGATGTGGACTTGCACAGCCTATTCCATCATGTTCACTAGGAGTGATTTACTTTAAGAACTTGCCACCTGAAACAAGGATGCTTTTCCTTCTTGATTCTTATTCTGGGACATTCTGGTGAAACTTTTTGATTTGACTTCCTCACAGCTGGGGAAGATTATTTCTCTGAGACATAGATTAGATTATAATAAGCCCTGGATCAGCTATCTATACTCGGATTTCATACATGGCTTTTCTAGTTGTGAACTGAGATATTGTTTGTATGTTTTCTAATCTTAATCTTGGCTAGATCCTACATAATTTCAGAATGCTGGCAAATCAACCACTGGGCTTCCTCATACGTTAGTACACCAAGACTCGCACATTAAAGAACAACTTCAAGTTTTTACACTTTATACCTTAATTTCTTTGCTAATTTATAAATTATTTTGGGAAGTCAAACTGAAGATAGGTTAAATCTGCTTTTGAAAACAAACATATCCATGCTTTATTTCTTTATAGGATGAGATGTAACCGTTATGAGAGTTGCAGTCTTCCTCCTTGTTAAAGCTTGTTCCCTTCAAAATTGGCAGCGCTGTACCTCAGATATGACCAAATGACTCTCTTACCAGACTCTACTAGAGTAAGAATAGAGGAGTAGTGCCAGGATTTTACTCCTGCTCTTCTTCAAGTTAATGATAAGTGCTTCTATTGATTTGAAAGGGAGTGGGGTTGCTTAGTGTTGCCGTTAGATTGCTTTGTAGTGGAAATGTGTGTATGTATTTTAAACATTAATTTGGAGAGTGGAGGAAACATCAGCTCAGGCTAGCACTATGTTGTTTCTCCTATGCTGATTGGTGATGCTCTTAGAAATTGGACGATGCTGGCAGGTATTTTCTTTTAATTAACTTGCACACACATTTTGCAGTGTGGAGTTCCAGAACACATCTTCCAACCAAAAAACAATAATATATGCACATTATCACTGTTCTATTTGGAAAATTATAATAATTTACAATAAATTACAGTAACTCTGTAATATATTGTAATAAATAATAGTAATTGTAATAAAAAATAGTATTTTTTGTTGGTCCAACCCATGCTCACCATGAGTTGACCAAAAGTAATAGGCTTAATTTGCAGTGAGGGAGAGTTAGGTTAGGTATTAGGAAAAAGTTTCTAATATAAGGATAGTTAAGCGCAGGAACATTGCAGATTTGAGAGAACATCTGTCAATATTGTTTCATATCTTGCCTCAGCATTGAGCGGAGTACCTCATGTCTTACATTTCTGTGATTTCCATGATTAGTGTTAATAGGTTTGCTAATAACCATGATATAAAGGATTAATATGTTCACCCGCTGAGTACAGGTGATAGGGGAAAAAAGGACCAGGAAAAGTGTAGGAAGTAGGGAAAAAGACAAGAGAAAGGCAGCAGAAAATAGTAAAATTTCCCATCCTTTATTATGCCCAGTAGTCCATGGTTGTATTTTCCTTGTCCCATTTAAACTATAAATTCTAAAAATGTTGATCACATTTCTTCAAAGGAATTACAGCTTGTTTCACACACAAGCAAGGTGTTTACAAGTTGATTAAAATTACAACTTATTACACACAGAAGCAGACTTTTCAAAGCCTAATATTTGGTACAAACTCTAATTTAGCAATTTCATTTTTCTTCTCTCACCTACCATTTTTGCACCGTTTTTGTGATGAAGTATCCTGGTTATAGCTCTAGGGAAGAATCAGTTACTGGCAGTAGAGGAATGCTGCTCCTCCTGAAACTTTCTCCAGTTATACTTGCTTCTGTGGTGTCAAGTGGATTAAACAAGACTTTATTACTACTTTTTGTTGGTAGTGCCTTTTGTGTCCCAGTTACAGACCAGGATTCCATTGTTTTAGCCACTGTGTAAGTGTAGAACAAAAGACAGTCCGTGCCTCTAAGACCTTAATACCTACAATAACATGAGATAAGAGGTGGGCACAGACACTCTGGAAAGCATAAGAAAATGAAACAGCGTTGGTCAGGATGATAGGTGATGGTCTCAGCACATCAGCTGTTTAATCATTGTCGAGTTTTTTGTAAGCATTGGAAAAACAAAGATATAAGAAAGGATGACCGATATGGTAGGTATTGAGGCTGCTTGGGGAGGGGTAGTGTGGGAGGAAAAACAAAGGTACTTTTTTAGAAATGTAACTAGAGGGCAATGGAAACTAGCTTATTTGCCTGTTGGATGTGGGAACAGATATCTTGGTAAGACAGGTTAGGTCATGGAGGGTCTTGAAAGAAAAGCTATGTAGCTTGTGTTTTGAGATGAAGAAGAAGAAGCTGGTAGAAGAATGGAAAAAAGAGTGATGTGGTCAAAATGATAGATAACCTAGAAAAATAACCTTTGGCATTATGTACTGATATGAGTGGAGATTTGCGGGGCAGGCACGAATGAATTTTTTTCCAGGTTAGGATATTGCACTTATTGTGACTCAAGGTAATGAAAGTCTGAATGAGAGATTTTTTAGATATGTGGAGACCTAGGAAAAGACATATATCTTACAGATGACATGGAGAAGAAATTTAGCAAGATTTTGATGGAGCCTGGATTTGAAGATGTAGGAGGTCTGCAAAATCTCATGTGATTGACCAGGACGATGGTGGTGGTGACCAATATTGAGAAAGGAGGAGTGTTAATGTGGGATGGGAATAGGTTAAGAGTGCTTCATCCATTTTGGACATAGGCTAACAGCTGGACATTCATCAGGCATGGTCAGAGATGGACAAAGTTTTTACTTTAGACAGGAGGAGGCAGGTTTAGACTACACACACTTCTGTGAGTTATCAACATGGAAATGGTTTTGGATAGGTTTATGGATGAGATTTACACAGAAATAAGTTATAAGAGCAGAACAGGGGTTGACACAAGGACTAAGCCCTGTGAAACGCCCCAGAAAACAGGAAAAGTTAATGAGGAGAATGACACACTGGTGGAGTAATTGGAGAACCAGGAAAGCACTGAATCATGGAAGTCCAAGCATGACAGAATATCAAGAAGAGTGCGGCTGATGGGCTTGAAGAGAGCGTTCAGCGTTTCTGGATTAAGAATAAACTGCTAGAGAAATCAAAGTCTCTCTTTCCAAACAGAGTTGGATCAGGAAGGTCCTGGAGTGGACGATGATTTGAAGAGGATCTGGGATGGAACTGGGTTTAATGGGCCAAAAGTGTTTGTAAAACTATTTTATATGCTGTAAACTAGTAGACGGGGTTGGGGAGAGGTTTTAAAGATGAAATCACCTAAAGCGTGTTTCTTCCATCAAGAAAGGGAACTAGAGGAGAGTGACGGGAAGAGGAAGGTTTGACTATTCGTGTAGGTTTTTTACTATGAGCTGTTTATTTAAAATAAGGCTTATTATTTCAAAACAAATAGAAATTGGCATTGGGAGTAGGAAAGGGGAAACGAAAGCACTGCATATTTTGGGAGTCTTATGTTGTATTAAAATAGTCATGGTTAGCCTAAATATTGCAGAAGCAGTGTCCTTCATTATAAAATATTTATCCTTTTAAAGATGTAAGTGATGTATATAATCCCTTCTTATGCTTTGAAGTTGCTTGATCATTCATTTTTCCTGTAGCATACCATATAAGTATACATGTGTGTGGAACACAAAACCCTACAGACTCCCTACAGATTTTCTGTACAACTGTTTACAATGGGAAACCTAAGTTCACATATGACCCCATCACCATGGGCCTGTCGTTTTGTTTACTGTAATAATTACTTGGCCTTTAAGTTATTTTAATTGGGATAGCCACACAGTAGCAAATGGCTTGAATGACTCATCATCACCAGTGAGGATCTCAGAGCCAGGCAGTTGCGTGGCTGTTTCTGATTCATTCATACAATGGGAAAATCCCATTTTTGCTTTCCAGTACTTCTACCTACATTCTCTGAAGAGTGCTTTCTCATCCTCTAAGTCAGCATGAGGCTGACATTTCATTAAAAGGCTCTTGTAGCTTTTATAGTCAGTTCACATCACGTAAACAATTTATACATCAGTATTTACATACTCAAAAGAAAAAAAAGTTGAGGGAAGATTCCACTGTCCTCAGCTGCAGTGTAGAAAATAGTTTAGTTTCAATCCCAAACCCACATTCAATCCTTTTGAGAGTTTGCATTCTCAGAGTGCAGACACAACAACATTATAAATAAGATATAAATAACTAAGTGGATGAATGGCAGCCTCTGTTATTTGTTAGCTTTGCTTGTAAAAGGTCCTTTTTACCACTGGTTAATTTTTGTAACTATTTTGTGGATAATTTTGCTTACATACTCGGCCTTCTATTTAGCAGGCTGACACACTCTGAATGTTGTGACACATCTGTCCGCTGTTACCAAATCAGTCAGGAAAAAAAATTAAAATAATAAAACACTAGTCCCGTTTATAAAAAAGCTACTTGTTCTAGCTGTCCTGAATACAGGAATTCTAAAAACAAAATGGGATTCTTGTTATGCTCATTTGCATGTGAAATATTTGGGATGCTTTTCCAGCTCACAGTCAACCAGGTGTCTTAGCTCTGAAGACAAACATAAAGATTAGGATTTTTTTTTTTTTAGTGTTCAGATGATCTGTTTCTCCAAAATGTGAGAATTCAAGATGAATCAAGATCATCACTGAAGCTCATTTTAAAACATAACAAGCAGCAGGGCTGAACTTTTAACTCAGTGTTAGCTTCCCAAATATATTTAAGTGGCTAAAGAAAATATTTGAATATTTAAAATATGAATGCAGTACTTTATATGTGTTGATTATATATAACTATTTAGGGCGACTAAAATAATGCAATGCTTACATAAAAATAGGTTTCAAAGCAGAAAGCTGCGATGTTATTGATATTAATGGGTTGATGTTTCACCCACCCCAGTTACCAGGCATGTGTTTGGTGCATTTGTTAACTAGCTTCTTTCGAGTAAATAGTTTTCAACCTTGTCCCTCTTTACTGTAATCAGCCTTCAGCCTAATAAGGACTCAGCCCACCTGTGAATTCTTTTGTCCACCCCTGCAAAGGGTTTGTTGGTCTTCAAAGACTTAAATATTCCCCTTCTCCCTTCAGCCAAGAGGACACCTCATCCATCTTTTGGATGTCTTGTGTTTACTGCTGGGAACTCATTTTTTTGAGTTTGTGAACCTCAGGTCACAGAGTTTAGGGTAAAGTGTGCCCACACCACAATACACACTGTCCATTAGCCATCCCCTTTCAATCCACTAAGTTCTCTTGTATCTAAGTGACACACCAGTCTTCCCTGCAAAGTTCAGGGTCATCGTATTTGATTTTGTTGTGTGTGATCTCTGCACTTTGTGCAAGAGGGTGTTAGATCAGTGTAAACTGTGGGCCATTGAACAATGCAAAAAGCTCAGGGCCCTAAGGTGAACAGAGGTTGATATGGTTATGATTTAGTTATGGAGTAGGAGTTTGAAACCAAACCTTTGTATAGGGCCCCAAAATGGAAACCTTGTCACTGACTTAGTACCAAAAAGACCCTGTGACCTTCTAGCTCATGCTCATAAGGGCTTTGTATATAGCTAGGGATAGGATAGGGGAATGCAAAAGGCATCAGTTGTCTCTTCCTCCACATCACGATGGCTAAGGAGTAGTTGTGTGTGCGTGTATGTGTATGTAAAATACTATCTGTTCCCTTGCTTCATTCTTTGCCTAGGCAGAATCTCCATGTCTATTATGGGGTGCTGTGGGGAGAGGAGAGGAAAGGCTCTGGAGTGGCTGATCCAATCCACGTTTTATCAGGAGCCACAGGACGGTCTATCCTACCAGCTTACTCAGACCTTCTCCCCAACAGAGATGAACGTGGGGATGCTTTTGCAGTTATCACCTTAAAACAAACATCAAGGGAATTAAGGTGTTGGTTGTGTAATATGTTGTGGAAAACTAAAATCTGTAGGTTTGGAGTCTCTCAAGAAGAAAACAGGTGAAAGTAGTGATCATGTCATATCCAGTTTGTTTTGTTTAATATGGTAGAAGCCAAACCCTGTACAGAACGAGTGCTGCATGCAGCATTACTGTTTTGGGGACTCTCTCGTGCTACGCTGTCTAGTGAGTTAGGCTGCTAGGCAGCTGCATACTTTCTCCTACGTTGTGTTGTGAGTACTAAATTAGAACCATTCTCCTGTTCAGATTGTCTTGGAAAGATGCACAAATTGTAGCAACTGACAAATTGCAATGTCAAAAGTCTTGACATTCAACCAGGCATGAATTATGGATGACCTAATAATGTAATAAAAGGAAATATCTTAGTTTAAAAAAACAGAGTAAAGGTTTATTGTTATCTTCTGGCCTTAGCATTGTCCAGACTGTCAGACAAAGGGGTAGGGACAAACACACACTTGTAGTGGCTTCAGAAGCGGGGTGGGAGCTGCTTCTCAGGAATTTGCAGCAGCCATTATGTTGTAACTTTTGTACATGCATGATCCTGTACCAGTATAAGTGAGTGAATCACCCAGCATTGACCTTAGAAGAAGGTTAAAGTTGAAATAGTTGTGCTACACTTGCCTCACTACAAAATCTTGCAGACAGTTGCACCATATCAGCGACTCCCCCTCTGAAGCTGCTACAAGTGTATATTCCTCCATACTCTAACCTAGAGAGAGAGAGGGAAAACTAGCCCAAAGGGTTAAAGTTGTCAAGAGAAAAATATTCACAGATGGAAAGTAGAAAAGAATTATAACGGGGAGGGATAAAACTACAAGGGACCAATCTGTCCTTAGTTTTATAGTTCTTGCCTGGGGTAGACCATCAGGGTTGTGATACAGAAAGAGGACTCTGTGGGAACCTGGCATACACCACATCTCCTTGCGAGGTCTTGCATTCAGCAGTGAATCCTCCGTTACATGAACAAAGTCTTCTTGTTTGCTTGCCCCTTTTCTCTTGCTTTTCAGATTTAGTGAGTGAATAATTGTGCCCTATTTTTAATATTAAATAGCAAAGTGGTGGGAATCAAGAAAAACGATGAATGTGCACATACAAAAATGCTGACTTAGGTGACTACAGCAGAATTTTAACCCATTAAACCTTGGCTGCTCTTGATTTAAAACAGCAGATTTGTATGCTTGGTTCTACTGCATCAGCCAGCATCCTCATTTTGTGACCAGAAAATGACTAAACCAGGGGTGCTCCACCTCCAGCTTGCAGGCCAGCTGTTTCAGCAAAGACTTGGAATCTGGTCTGGAGGGCTCCCCATGGTTTGGGAAATTATGGCTGTGGGGGAGCAGGGGCAATACTGCCACCTCTCTCCACTGCCCAAATGCCAAGTCCCACAGGCCAGGGTGGAGCTGGGCCAGGACCCTCCTCCCTCATGGCCAGATTGGAGTCAGGCTACTCCCCTCTCGCCAAATAGGACTGGGCCATGGCCCCTTCCTCCAGCGGAGCTGGGCCATGCCTCTTCCCCCTGCATGACTGGATTGAGGCCAGGCCACACCATACCCCCTCCACCCAGTGGGGCCAGGTTGTGGCCAGCTCAAGATCCCTTCCACCATGTGGCTGGACCAGGGTTGGGCTCCCCTCCCCACTCTGTGTGGCCAGATGGGATCCTGTCAGATTTGGCCCATGAAAGAATTGGACACTGCCCATCTGGCCCACTGGCCAAAAAGGTTGAGCACCACTGGACTAAATAACAGCAAGGGTTTACTTCTAAGGTCCATGAGCAGCCATGGGATTAATAACATCTAAGAGTTAATGAACTGAAAACATTTTTGAGTGTCCTAGAATGAAGGCTACCCTCTCACTGGTTTCCTACTCGCATCTGAAAAAATATATATATGTATGTTTAGAAGGAAATTTCTAATGTCCTACAAGCTTGGGGTTTTTTTTGTCTTTGTTTGCATCAGAAATGATTTTTATGACAGGATCAACTTAAATCTGCTTACTGTCTTATTCAAATGAATGTTCACCTGTCTGTAGCAGCATTCATTTTTAAAGAGCTCAATAAAATATAAAAAGAAAGACTTAACATTGTTGTGTTTCTGTTCACAGATGCTGTGAAGCCACCTGGTAGTTCTTTACAAGCATCTTCTGACTTGCCCTTAGCAGTTAATACTTCACCACCTTCTATGCATGCCGAATCATCCCTACCTCCTCCATACCAGCTAATTAATATCCCCTCTTCGGAATCCTCATGTAGTCAAGAAGATCCTCAGGACTACTTATTGCTAATAAACTGTCAAAGCAAGAAACCAGAACCTATGAGGTAAATGGCTGTTTCAATTTTTCTCTCTTTCTCTTTTTCTTTTCTCTCTCTCTCTGTTTCTCTCTCTGTCTCTCTCTCTCTTTCATAGTTTCATAGTTTCATAGGTTTAGGGTCGGAAGGGACCTAGTAGATCTTCTAGCCCGACGCCCGGCCAGGGCGGGAGAACAACAAAACCCCAAAACAAGAAACGGGACTCAAGTGAGTCCAGCCAGGTAGGCATCCAGCCTCTTCTTAAAGACCCCCAGGGTAGGGGCCAGCACCACTTCCCTTGGAAGTTGGTTCCAGCTCCTAGCCGCCCTAAC